CCTAAGACCTCCCTCCTAGAACAGTTGTGACTATTGTCATGATCCTGTACTTGAGCACATTACTTCTTCCTGCCCCTCCCCCGATCTCCAGGCCTGGGAAGGGCCCTTATATTCTTCTTGAGCACCTTCCAGAGCGCCTGCTCCCAGGGCCGTGCTGTCGAGCGCTCACACATGGTTAGCATGCAGATGGAGTAATGACAAGACTTATGAAATGGTAGGAATGTGACACCGAGGACTATGGGGAAAGAATGTGTCAGGACACTAACAGACAGAACAATTAAAAACAGCTACTTTAACTTACAACAAAGAGATTTCCAACATCCCCTTTAAAAAAAGAATTAAGCTAAAGGTCTAAAATGTATGTGAAAAGCAGTTTGGGGTTTTTCTCTTTCATGTTGAATGACAAGCAAGAAAGCTTTGGGGTAGCTTTAGGCAGCAAGCAAAATCACTCAAGGTCTAGATCTCTTCCAAGGGTAGGCACCTATATTACACTGTGAGGCATGGGGGTGGTGTCTGGGCGGAGAGGCTGGCTTTGCACTATGGACTTGGCTGGGAATTTATGGGACATTGAGTTCTGAGTCAGCAGTATTTCACTGGAGCTTGGGTACCACCTCTTTTAGGAAACCTTCCCTGATCACTCCCAAGGCTGGCTGGGAGGATCGCTGTCCATGAGTGGCACTCACCACACTGTCTCCTAATTGCCTGCAAGTGCTCTGGCCCCAGACCCCAGGCTGTGAGCAACCTAAGGCAGAGTCTGTGGCTTAGTCATCTTTGAGTCTCTGTACCTGCAATATAGTCTATTGAATGAACAACTAAACACAGCCAGGAAGTTCAAACACAAGTCACTAATGCACCAGATAAAATGCTCAAGAAACCCTCTTAAAGAGGAGGATTAAAGATATATATTTACTATTTTTAAAAGGTCTCTTTTAAATATACCCTGTTAGTATGCATCATCCAGTAATACAAAAATACATTAATATGTGAATTTCAGAGGGATAATTGGACATTAAGTTCAAACACTCTGAGATTACCATTTTTGTCTGAGTATAGGATATGTATATTATTCTTTGGGAAATCAGTTCCTCATTAAAAAGCAAAGTTTTTGCAAATAGTACCTGACATCTATAGGAGCAGCTCATTTTAAAAGAATTTGCTTTACAAAACCTATAATAGAGCTATTGGGGTTTTAGAACTTAAAGAATTAGATTTGGACCTGAGCTCGCTTAAGAAACTTTATATAACTTTCTAAATGATAGCAATTTAAATCATCCTTCATTAAGAAAGTCCCAATAAACACTATTTAGATAAAAGAAGCTATCTATTTTACATAAGCCCAGCTAAGTACTAGATCAAAGGCACCACATACACTTACAAACAAATGGCACTGCCTCTGAGATCAAAGTGCTGCTGGGCTGAGGGGACTGAAAGAGCCTTTAGCCGGAGAGCATGGGAAAGGACTGGGAGACCTAACCCATATCAAGATTTTAAAGTGGACACATGTCTTTGGTTATTTTACTGTTGCAATGTACAGAATCTTTGGTTAAAATGGGGGAGAAAGTGTACCAATTAATAAGTACATAAAATAAATTCTGAGCCATCAAAGGGCTTTTCTTACTATTGTTCTTTGCATTTCTGGAAGAAAAGTGCTTCAAAATGTTTATAATGTTAACCAGCCGCTTGTTTCTAAATTTTGGAGCTACAAATTCAAGTCAGTAAAGGCTGAATATTTTTCTTTAGGGATCTTTTAATGGGACCTCTCAAACCTTAAGGGCCTGTGCTTGGGCAAGAAATTTAGCCAAAAGCAATCTACTTGGCAAATCGAAATCAGAATGTGGATTCCGCTGTAAGAACAGGCGCTGTTAGAGTTACCATCAAACAGTGGGAAACGCTGCAAGAAAATAAAATATAGTAAGTGACAGCACGTTTTATTGATGTGTCCAAACCGGTCGTCAAAGACATCAGTTGGAGAGCGAGTGAAGCATGGGATTATTTCAAAGCAACTTCCTGCTAGAATTTGACTTCCCAGATTGTAAGGTTTATTCTTGCTGTTTTTCAGCCAGACCCCAATCATAAATACAGATTTGTAAACCGTGCCTTATCTGCTAACCATTCTTACTTGTTAATAGAGAGAGACAACTTCTGTCCTTTGCACTTTGCGAAAGTGCAGAGCTGGAATATTTAATAGTCAAGATTTTACTGAAGTCAGCTGTGGATTTCTCAGGCATGCGGAACCACATGCTTTTCAAGTGGCTAGCAGACCCCACTCAGACATTTATCTGGACGCTCAGATGCCTTTCATTTGCTGGTAGATTATAAACCACTATAATCATTTCAAAGCCTCCTGGCTCTAATCTAAAATTAAAGCAAAAAGAAAAGAAAAAAAGAGTAAGAGCATCTGTGGCATTCATTGCTCAGGAAAACTATACACAGGCAGTGTAGCCAGGCTGAGAGGGCCCCCGGGATC